TGTGTGTATGTGTGTGTGTGTGTGTAGTGGCTGGTTTTGTGTGTCAACTTGACACAAACTACAGTCATCAGAGGGGAAGGACCCTCTACTGAGGCAATGCCTCCATGAGATCCAGCTGTAAGGCATTTTCTCATTAGTGATCAAGGGGGGAAGGTCCCAGCCCATGGTGGATGGGGCCATCCCTGGGCTGGTGTTCTTGGGTTCTATGAGAAGGTAGGCTGAGCAAGCCAGAGAAAGCAAGCCAGTAAAGGGCACCCATCCATGGCATCTGCATCAGCTCCTGCCTCTAGGATCCAGCTCTGCTTGAGTTCCTGCTCCGACTTCCTCCAGTGATGGAAGTGGAAGACAAATAAAATTCTTCTCCAACCTGCTTTTTGGTCATGGTGTTTCATCATAGTAATAGAAACCCTAACTAAGGCAGTGTGTGAGGTAAGTAAATCAGGTTTAACAACAAACTGTAGCTAGTGGACTGGAAATCTGGAGAAAATGAACAGAACCTTACCTCAATCCTTGATATTATTAGACATTAGACATTACACTGTTCACTTGGACCCCCCTTTTCTTCAAACCTTGGGATTAAAAATAGATAAGATATCCTTTAAATTAATTTATTAATTTTTAAACTTTTAAAATTTTGTTGTGTATATGGGTTTTTTTTTTCCCTCCTGTGTGTATATTTGTACTACATGTATGCCTGGCACCAGGAGAGACCTGATTAGGGCATGGGATTCTCTGGAACTGGAGTTACAGATGGTTGTGAACCACCATATGGGTGCTGAGAATCTAACCTGGGTTCTCTCAAAGAGCAGCTAGTGCTCTTGATCGCTGAGTAGTCCTGGCATAATATCTCTCTTAACAACTTATGGAAAATTTTCAGCTCTTTGCATGTGTCTAGTGTTTGGACAAAGCTAGCAACCTTAAAGATTCCGAGTTTTGTATGTCCTTCATGTTTATCCAACCAAAGGGACAAGAGCCATAGCAAGTAAACAGTCTTCGGGTTAATGGCATCAGTTCTCTGGGACTGAATGTTGTCATTGGCATTTATTGCTTGTGACTTTGGGGAAATTGTTCAACCTGAACATCTCAGTTTCTCCTCTGCCACATGGGCTTTGATATGATAGGGTCTTTTTGGAAGTCTGCAGTGTGTGCTCAGATCTGTTTCAGAAGCCAACACTCTCAAAGAATGAGACTTGACTCATATCTACTCAGTAAACGCGTGGGGTCAGCTGTAGACCACAGCCTTGGTGGACCTGTGCCTTCAGTGTTAATCAAGTGTTTTCTGATTCTGCCCTTGGCAAGTTAGAGACACAATCCAGACGCTTTGTAGAAAAGATGTCTTGTTACTGCAAACAGGTCAGGAAACCACCAATGGAAGTCACGAGTTGTGTTAAGTGCTTGGAGCTTTTGTGGAAGGAAGTTCTCATATATGTTTTGCCGAGAATTTTGAATTATGCCATCAAGGAGATTTTGTGTTTTCTGTCTTTCATATAAGATATTCTTAAAAAGAAAAAAGAAAAAAGGGTATCTTGGGTTTCTTCTTTTGGTGCAAAATATAAAATATTTTTATTAATGTCTTAGCTTTCATTGAGGGTCTGGTGACTGTAGAGGGACTTGCCACTTTGCCACTTTCAAGTCCTGAGATTCAAAATCTGTTCATCTGTTGCATGTGAAAGAAATACAGGGTTAGGTTCTCTACTTAACTAATGCCAATGTCCTTGGTCTTGTACTTGACATCTCTGCCTCACTGTCTCCCCTGAGACTATTCCCCAAGCCCCTCTAAGATGTTTTCAAATCAAAAACTGCAGCACAAAGCGTTGCTTCCCATAATGCACGTGGGAAACCAGCCTAGCTTTGATTCAGGGTTATCTGGGAACCTTTCTTTAACTTTTTAAAATTATATTTGATATGTTTAAGAAAAGCCTCTGCACTGGCTCAAAGAACTTCAATTAAACCAGATTACACCAAATCAAATGTCTGAGTTTAATAGACGGTACACTCCCGGGTGGCTGGGAGGGGAAAGACAGAGGGAGCATACATGCAAACCCAAAACCATGTGTTCTTGTTCTGGAGTGACCCTAAATACCCTGTGGGAGGGGTCAACGCTTAGCAGGCTGGGAGTTGGAGTTCAGACCATCATTTCAGACTCTTTGGGTGTGACAAGAAGCTGAGGTGATATTTATGACCAACATTTTAGGCTTTCTTTGGATAAATGGGCGTTGGCTCGAGTCTGGCCACTTCCTGCGGGCATGGCGCGACTTGGGAGAGGGGAGATCTGAGAGTTGGGGCAACCACGTGTGCTAGCCACCATTTTAACTTCCATCTGTTAAGAAAAGCCTCTCCACCCGGTGCAAAGAACTCCAGTCAAACCAGAGTAAGCCAAATCAAATGCACATATTTACTAGACAGCACACTCCCAGGTGGCCAGGAGCATGGCAGGGAAAAGACAGAGGGAACGCACAAGCAAACCCAAACCCACATGACCCCTGTGGGAGGGGTCAGTGCTTGCCTGGCTGGGAGTTGGAGTCTGGACCAACAAATGTAGTACATGTGTGAGTGGGCATGTCTCAGTGCATATGTGGAGGTCAGAAGACACCCTTCCTTTCACTATGTAGGCTCTGGGGATCAAGTTCAGATTGTCATCCTTGTTGACAAGCATCTATATTCACTGAGCCATCTTGCCAGCCCCATGAGGATCCTGTATATACTGTCCTGTTGGCTTATGAAGTCTTCAAATTAATATCCTAGTAGTAAAGGCTGGGCTTCCTTTTATTACTCTTACTGGCATAAGGGTGTGCTTTCCTCCCTCCTTGTAACGATGGTAGGAAAATGCTTAGCCAAAACATTTGCTTAAGGAGGAGACAGATGAGGCTTTGCTGGACATTAGTTTTGCAGTGGCCTCTTTTGTCAGTGTGTTAGTAAATTAATCATAACTCTATATGTCACACCCTTACTGATACATTTTATAGGAAACGAATAAGTTTACAAGATGTTCAGGGGAAGGTAGATGCTTTCCCAAGAGGCATTACACCTTCTCAAGATGGTTGAATTAACTGATTTCTTTTGACTGCTTCATAGAAGATTGGGATGACCGGGGCTCATATTTATTGTCATGTAGGTTGGAACTCTACATCAAAGGCCATTAGAAAAGCATTTGACAAATTTAAGAGATGATACAAAGCCATTGTGTGTGCCTGGAATATAATGGGCGAGTAGAAGGAGTAATATGAGGTGAAAGGAAACAGATCATGAGAAAGAAGCCTTTAAGCTGAAAGTCCTTGATGTGTGTGTGTGTGTGTGTGTGTGTGTGAGAGAGAGAGAGAGAGAGAGAAAGAGAATGTGTATATATGTGTCTGTGTCCTTCTATGTGTTCTCTCTGTGTGTGAATGTGTGTCTCTTTCTCTGTGTGTGTGTGTGTTTGTACCTGTGTGCCCATGTGTATAGGTGCGCTTGCCCATACTTGTGTGGTAGGGGTGGAGGCACAAGAGTTTGATATCTGGTATTTCTTCAATTAATCTCAATCACATTTTGGGGGATAGGGCATGTCATTGAACCTAGACTTTTCTATTTCAGCCAGGCTGTCTGGCTAGCGAGCCCCTGACCTCTACCTGTCTCCTTCCTCTGGCCCAGCTCTTCGGCTGCAGTTGCATCTGCCATATCTGACTTTTATTTTCAGTGTTGGGTGTCTGAACTCAACTTCCATGCTTGTGCAGAAAGCACTTTAGCCATGGAGCCACCTCCCCAGCCTTTACAGGTCTTCATTCCAAGTTCCATGGAAAGCCAGGGATGGCATACACTCTGGTCCATGTCTTTAGTAGAGCGTTCATACTGTTGTGAGGAGACTCAGTGTTTACGTTGGGAAGAGAGGAACAAGGCACCCTCTGGGAAGGAGGTGTAGGGTACTGGAAAGATGGTGGCGGTCCTGATTATAGCAGTGCTTGTTGGGGATAGCAACAAGTGGTGTGCTCTTTGGTGTGGTATAGATAGAGAACCCACAGAATTGCCATTGGAGCAGAATCCCCACAGGGATGCAGTGTGGTTACTCATAGCCCTTAACAGCTGAGCTCTTCTCCAGGTGGGGCTTACTACAGACTTTCCTCACCCGCTTTTGACTTGGAACCCCAGCTTAGAGGAATAGTCTGTCTCTTGCAGTACAGACTTGCGACAGTGAACACATTTGTAAAGAGCTAGTGTGTCCCACAGAAGTCTGTGGCCACAGCATTTGGCTCTGTAGATCTCTCCAGCATGAACTGTAGTTCTGTGTAGTTCTGTGCCCTTTAGCTGTTCTTCTGAAAGTAGAGCTGTCTCCTGCACTTCTAGCTCAGGTAGTGGGATGGTAGCTTTAATATCTGGCTGCAGCTCCCGTGTACGCTGGGTCATATTTCTGGGAGACATGTCATTATATTCAGATAAAAAGCGAAGTATTAATTAATTTTTGTCCCTCTTTCGGCCTCAGTTCTCCAAAGAATCGCTCCTTCAATTGACAGTCTTGGCTTCTTGGTTGATTAAGAGACTACAAACAGCCTTTATTCATTCGTGTCTTTTTCTTCTCTCTTTCTCTCTCTCTCTCTTTTTTTTTTAAACAGAGTTAAAAATAGAGTTCTGTGATCTCAGATAGAAAGTCTCTTTTTATAACCTCCCTCAGCACATCTGTGTTGTTCTCTGGGGGGCACGAACTCTCAGCTCCTTGAAGACAAACACCTGACCCGTTCTTTCTCTGGCACTCGTTCACATGCCTCTTCTCTTTTTAACCCTACCCTGGCTGCTTAATTTGGCACTCTTCATGATCCAGGCTGTATTGAAAGGAAGGAATCCCCTTTCACCCCAATCCTGGCCATCTGGACACGAGGTCTAACAGCTTTCCTTCCTTTCCACACGTGATGGGGCATCTTTTCTTTGGCTGTTGGGAGGGTGGCTGCCAGCAGGGATTCAGGTGATGCGCCCTTGAAGTTTCTGACTCATTTCATACTCCTTTGTAACTGGCTTCTCTTGTGATCTTCCAGAATACCAGGCTGCTATCTTACATCTGAAGAGGGAGCACAAAGAAGAAATCGAAAACCTGCAGGTATATTTCTTTTATTCTACTCATCTGGCTTTCTGATGGTTATTTTTCTCACGTGCTGAAGTAAGTATTCCTCTCGTGCGGGGAGTATTTAACTCGATAGCAGCTGCAGCTGCCAGTGGGCATTAAGTGAAGTAAACGTTTTTCTTAGTGGGGAGCATCTAACTAGGTTTCTTCTGCAGCTCCCAGCTACCAGTGGGCACCAACCTTATTCTGGGATGAAAGCCTTGGATACAGTACTTAATAAACCCTGTTTTCTAAAGTTGGAAAAAAATCACCATAAATGCCTTGGGCTTTGGCCGGAAGAGTGATTCTGTGTTTTTAAATCAGGAAAGACAAGAGTATTGATATTTTTACTGTTCAGGGCAAGTATTTTTTAAAAAAAACTGGATGGTGCTATACACCCTGTAATTCATTTCTGTTCCACTCAGCCCTCTGTGTGCCTCTTAGCTCCTCCCTGGGGTATGATTTAATGCAGAGGAAGAGTGTGCTGAGTCATTCTGTGTCCTCGGGGCGTGCAGGAAGGTGCCAGCGGGTCCTCCTCTGTTTGCTATAGCATCATTGTCAGTCTCTAGATGTGGTGTTGGCTTACAGGGCATATGGCAGGAAGTTTAGAGTCTTAGTTTAAAGCCGCTGGATGGTGAATCATATCTTGAGTCTAGATTAGGAGTGGGTGAGGTAAGCCACATGTATTGTCAAGAATAGTGGCCTTTTAAAAATGAAACTCCTGTTCCCTTAACATGAGCTCATTATTTGCCACTTTAATCAGTTTGTGGCTAAAATATTCTGCCTTTTAAATTTTGTTGACAACTAGAGATTCTAAATTATAGCACATGGCTTGTTTGGAGACAGTATGCATTCTGGAGTGACTACACTGAGTTTAATTATAAATATGCTACTTCAATGAATTTATCGATCAGATATTCTCCCTCTTCATTTCATTTTTGTTGACAAATAGGAGTTGGATATGATTTATGGTGTGCAACATGTTTTAGAATATCATACTTTGTAGCAGACTGGGACTCATTAATAAAAGCATTATGCCATATACTTAACTGAGTTTTAGTAAGTAGACTCCAGGCCATTAGCAGTGTGTTTAGGTATGTAATACTTGCTACTAGCATGGCCACTGCAACGAATCACTTCAATTCCCTTCTCCTATCTTACTGAAATTTCGTGTCCTTTGATCAACCTCTCCTTAATTATTTCCCTACCTATCATCCCCCACCCTTGAAGCCATAATTTTGTTTTTGTGAATTCAACTTTCTTAAATCAAACATATAAGGAGATCACATAGTATTTATATATCTGTGCCCAGTTTATGTTCTTTAGCATCTTTCAGGTTCATCCATATTACTAAAAATGACAGGATTTTCTTTTTTAAGGCTGAATAATATTCCATCATATAGATGCATACTCCACATTTTTTATCCTTTCGTTCTTTTACACATACTCAGATTGATTCTATATCTTGCCATTTGTGATTCATGTTGTAGCTAGCATAGGACTGCAGCTATAGCTTCCTTTTGGAACATACATAGTAATGGAGCTATTCCTTCATAGGGTGGTTCAGTTTTTAATAACTCTACTAGTTTACATTCCCATGGAAGGAATTAATGGCTCTCTGGTCACCATGCCCTTGCCAGTACTTGTTATCCTCATCTATTTTGGTAGTAGCCATTAGGACAAGTGGGAAGCCATATCCCATTTTAATTTGTGTTTCCGTGATAGTGATGCTGAACGAATTTCCATATACTTGATGGCATTTTATGTATACTTTTCAGAAATTGCTACTCCTTCCTTGCTCCTTTTAAAATCAGCTTGTTTTCCTGTATGATGTCATCTGCATTCCTTGTATATTTTGTTTATTAACTGTATATTTGTTTATTAGATTCGCATAAGTTCCTCCTTTCAGTTTTCTGTAGTATGTTTTCAAATACAGTTGAAGGGTTAGTAAGGTAGCTGAGTGGCCACCAAGTAGTCACCTGGTTCAATCCCCGGGGCCCACATGGTAGAAAGAGAAAAGTGACTCATATATGTTGTCCTCTGATCTTCACACGCATGCTATAGCATGAGTACATGTGTGTATGTTCATGGGTACATCCACCCACCCACCCACACCCACACTCACATGAAACAGTAAATAAATAAATGTGAAGAAAGCAAGTCATTCAAAAGAGAAGGTGAGACACTATTTTTGATTATATAAGCACTCATTGCAAATAGCCAAATACATAAGTAGCCAGTGTCACACCCATTCACACTGATACACATGGTTTGGTAGAGGGAATAAGTTAATTTAACAATGAAACAAAGTGGAGAAGTGCATCTCACTCCAGGGTGAAAGGACAGATGGAGGCTGTCATTCCCTTGGGTGTGAAATGGGGGATGGAAAGGGTTCTGAGCTGTCCAAGAGGATCTGAAGTTGACGGTGGATATTTAAAGCGTGATTAAGAGACAGGTAGGTACAGAAGTGATTCCACAGACAGGTTTATTAACAGTGAAGTTGTCAGAGTCATTCGTTTCCCCACTTATAAATCAGCACTGTGAGGAGCCAATTAAATAATACTCACACTAGAGGGAAATGCTTAGCTTTTGAGTTATTGCTCAAGTGGGCACTGAGATAAGCATATTACAAGTATATTATGCTGAGAAAATCCTTTGATCCTACCTCTCAAATGAAGAAAGGCTTGGTATGTTAGTCAGCATGCCAACGCTATAGCAAACACTCAACATAATAGAGCCAAAGCAGAGAAAGGTTTTTTTTTTGCCTCATGGTTTCAGTCCATGGTCATTTGCCCCTGTTCCCTTTGACTTGTGGTGGGTGTGCATGGCAGAAAAGGCCTGTTAACTTCACTGAGTGTGTGAAACAGAGAGACAGGAAGAGCCCAGGATCCTACTGTTTTTTTTTTTAAAGGCATAGCCCCTAGTGTCCTCACTTTCTCCCACTAGGTTCTTCTTCCTGAAGGTCCTGTCAGATACCTTTTTCCTATAGGTTGGGGACCAACCTTATAACATATGGGCTTTGAGGAAACACTGGACATCCAAAGTAACAACTAGAGATGGGAAAGCAAAGATCAAATGACAGGGAAGAAATGTCCAGGAAGCTGAATGTAATGGTCTGTCCTGTCCTTTAAGAGTAAGCCCCGCCCACTCTCTCCACTGTTCACCAAGGCAAGCTGATCTTTTGCTTTTAGGATCTTCCTTCTACTTCTGCATCATGGCACCAATGTTATGGTTTAAATAAAATGGTGCTGTTCCCCAAGTGGCTGCAGTGAACAGTGGGTCCCAAGACCATGGCGGGCCACAAAGGCAGCCAGTCCCAGGCAGGGAGCCCCCTAGTGGCCATTGGCCATGAGCATGAGTGCCAGCAAGTCCTAGGCAGGGAGCCGCATGGTGGCTGAGAGACCAATGCACACCATGCAGAGTGAGGTTAGATATTTATTTAGTGGTTATGGAAGGGAAGGAGAAAGAGAGGGAAAGGAGAAGGGGAAAGAAACAGAGGTGGGAGAGGAGAGAAGTCGAGATGGATAAGGAAGGAGCTCAGACTGGAAACAGAAGGAAGATCTGCCTCCCTCGGAGGTGGATGGTGGGATGGAGTGGGCAGTGTTTATCTCTTAAAGGGACAGGACAGACCATTACACTAATTCCTGTTTAAGATATGAGTTAGATTAGGATATGATTATCATTACTAGATATTAAGAAATTTCCATAATTATACTTTAGAGATTTTGGAGTTAATTTTTTAAATCATCATATGTTCTTTTGATGCTATTGGTGAAGTTAATATTTTTTTATGTCCCAAATATATTGTTTATGCAAGTTGCAGAAACCCTGTGGCATTCTACTGCTATATGGGCATCAGGCCCAGTTTCTACAGCTAATTATTTCTTGAAACATGCTGTAGTCCCAGGCAGACAGCCAGTGGTCTGTGGTCTGCCCCCAAGAAACATTTTGTTTCAAATATAGTACTTTAAAGATTTGAAATAGGAATACACATTTTAAATGTAGTGGTTTGTGTGTAAGAAATAGAGTTCTAGCATTTTGTTTAAATACATTAGAAAATTTGGCATTCGTGTTGTTCCATGTAGCTTCAAACTGTTCAACATGGTAGCTGGTGTCCACTTCACATGTACTTTTCTGTCCACCACTGTCTGCCCTGTGTGGTTCACCTACTTGACTCCTGTGTGCTTTAACTAGCCCCTGTTTCTGAACGATAATGCAGACACAATGAGATGAATAGTTTGGCAACAGTAGCAACCAGTCAGAGTAGATGCTATTTGTAACATACAGACCAAAACCCAGCATGGCTATAGTTGTGGATTCTCTCTGAATATCACCCCTACCTATGGCATCCTTCCACTGGACTGACGGAAGGCAATGGCCAGGAAGACCAGTGCTTTGATGCTCATGTCTTTATGTATGATGTCCCAGCAGCCTTCAGTTACACTTTCTTTTTCATCGACAGGGCATGGAGAAGTCAGGTGTTTCAGGACTTCCTAAGCCTGCCTTTCTGTGCTGGTTTGGATCAGTTGGCCACTTCTCCCTCCAGCAATGGAAACTATATAGAATACTCTGTTGGGAGATCAGCCTTTGCAGCTGGTCACATGAAGGCCAATGGGTGAAGGAGCACTGAGCTTTTAGCCTCATTCGCTAGCTCCTGGCAGTCATTGAGTAGCATGAGAACTAGGTTTGGTTCTCAGACTAGCTTTTCAAATGTGGACTCTTACACACATAAAGTTTTTTTTATTGATGTCTTGAATGAATCAGATATTGCTGCCTTGTGCTTGTTCACTACTGTGCAAATGCAGACATGTGACTGACATTTCAAATGACCAGGGAAGGAAGTTGTGACAGCTCAGATATTTTCCATAATGTCATTATTTTAAATAATTTACAATTTTATCATAGGAAAGTTCTTTCTTATATCCCCCTCCTCAGTATGTTTTTCTTTTAGTATATCCCATCTTCACGATACTCATTTTTGTCTAGTTCAAGTTTTT